AGCACAAATCATTCCAACTCCTGATGGTGTCATATCGAGTCTCTCCCAAAACATCATCTTTTTCCTTCAGTTTTGAGTGAATGTTGCTTCCTAAATATGCAGTAGTGATCATTTCCCTTTTTAATTGGGAAAAGCTAAGCAAGTTGACAAAACTATTTTACAGTCTCATTTCCTGCTAGGGATCAGCTCTTTTCAATCCTGTTTCCTTTTCAATTAATTAGCATGACACCTCCATAACTAAATGGTGTATGTGCAAGAGAATGAGCACTTGATCAAAAGCTTGGGACACTATTATGTCATTTTCATATGTGAATTCTGTAATGCCTGAAAGAAGACAAAGCCGAGGTGAGTTAGACCTGACAAATTACCTGGATGCAGGGAAAGTAATTTTACCAACATTTGAAAGGCTAAGAAAGACTTTTCTGTGTGCATGCATATACTCGTATAGAAAGTATCAGAAGAATACAATACGAATATGAGAACGTCTTCATAGAAAGGTTTCATTTGAGGACATATGGGTGTGACTGGGTGAGGGTACTCTGCTCCCAAATGAGAAAAGAAAAATGTTTATTTTATGAGCAACACTTATAAGTTCAAACAGGCAATTAAAGTACTTTATTGAGGCCATTTTGGGATACCAAACACTTTGAAGATTATATTCCCTCATATTTCGTTTTTAGTGTTCCTCTAAGTAAAATATGTGGTTCCATTTAGTTACTCAGTTGTGAATTGTACTTTAAAGGCAAGGGGATATTTTTGACAATGCACATCTTAAACTTTTCATTAAACTACCAAATTTAAATTCTACATTTTTGTGTACTCTGACATTTTTGTCTGGCATTTTCATTAATTTTGTAACATACATAAATGTAGCTGAAATGTTAACTGATCAATACTTTGCCTCTCTCACACAGCACTAGAGTAAAGCTCCCTAAGGACCATGCAGCAGTACAGAAATTAAATGTGTATCAAATACTAACGTTAAATGCAGCAGTATTTACTGTATAACAACTGAAAAGGCTAGAAGAATTCCAAATGGACACATGGTAGCACAAATTACCTACAATCACTACTAAAGATTGAAGTTTGTCCCATAAAATAATTCCTTGACTGACATTGAAGCATGTCCTTTTACTGATAGCTCAGTTGTCCAATTATTTTTTGTGATCTACAAGAACAGAAATGTCTGGTCAAGAAGCTGATGGAAATTAGGCCCAGTTAGCAGATATTTCAGTGCCCACAGTGGATTAATCTGAAGAAAAAACACCCACTTCTGCATATTCTAATAAAGTTCTTCTGCCTCAAACGCACCATATTAGTTACTGAATTAAAATAAGAAAATTAACTGCTAAATACTCTAAAGGTCTGTTTTAAACACGTAAAATCATGTGAATTTATGGCAAAGGCTCCCTGTACATATTCTATTCTTTTCCATTGCATTTAGGTGCTTAAGAAGCATAAACACAAGTATGTAACACATGCTTGATCAGCTGCAAGACATAACAGGACTGTATGTGATACAATAAAGCTGCTCTGTAATTGAAACGTTAATTTAACGTTGTTGCTATGTACCTCCTGTATTTAAAAGGAAATAAATATGAAAAAGCAGGAAAGAATATCAAATTTTCAGATTGTTCTAATCCAAAGTCATATGCTAGCCAGATCAATCTATGGTTTATGAGCTATTTTATGAATATCTTTGAATATCTGAAAAATAACAGCTAGTAATACATCACAGTTACATGAAAACATTAACATATTATGTGTTAGTGGCAATTTTTCTTCTGCTGTTAATTACTGAAGCACAGAAAAAAGAATTCAAGGGAAAACCTTAAGTCATTCAAACAAAATCCCCAGCGAAGGTGATGAGCTTATGAAGTTTAACAGGAACAGGTAAAATATTGTTTAGCGGAGGAAATAATCTAGAACTTTGAAAATTTACCTTCTAAGTTTCTCTAACTCTAGACACAGCATAGGCAACACAAGTCATTGGGCTGGTGCCTTTGGACAGATTTTGGAAAGAATCATCCTAAACATTTAATATAGCATTTCCTTATCTAAGATGTCCCAAATAACGTAAAGGTTTGAGACAACTAAGTTCTGGAATACAAATTATCAGCAAGGCCCTTCAATGAACACTATTAGTCTTGATGACTAACACTGTGACCCTCTAAAGAGAATGACTTTAAAAACAACTGTAGTAAAGAGTGCAGAAGGTGTATAAAGCAGGTAACAGTAGCTTATTACAGAGTCACCATATTAATCAAGCCTTTCTGTAGGTTTCCAAGAGCAGTTCTTTTTTCCAGACTGATCTTAGTAATTACGTTTCTGAAAACTGATCTAGTCTGCCAGAATTTCTTCACCTGTGGTCCTGCGTATCCCCATGAGAAAGTAAAGCCATGGGGTAAGGTGCTAGACAGAAGTACTTGTAACTGTAATGCCAAGGACTTGGGGCATTGGGAGATATGAAAAATCAACCCCCACATATGTAACTTACATGAAATGGCTGTAAATCTGCATCAGGATGTTAACCATCAAGGTATGTCTTCAAATCCAACAGGATGGAAGAAATGGTTAGTTTAAAAGTCTACATCCAGTACATTATTTACTAGTCTGCCTAAAGAGTTGGAAACCTCCAGAACAGCCTATTTCTCATCTCCTTTCTGGCAATGACATTTTACTGTGACATTCTCTAACCTCTGCGAGTCAATGTCAAGAGGAGATATAATTTGTATAATAGTGAAGAGACGAAAAGTATACATATAGGTACATTTATTTTATATACTCTATTACATTCAAACGTAACCTTAGTGCAAGTATAATTCAGCATTACACATCCAAGCGAACCACTCTCAAGATTTCAAGAGCTTACGAAAGTCCAGAAACAATCTAAACACAAAGCTTATAATCATGATAGAAATTCACATGTATTTGACTTAGCTAGCAAAAACTTTTTTTGCCAGATAGATCCTTGGAGTGAATAACATCAGGTTGAAAAGCACAGGATCCATTTTGGATGCAGAGCAGAAATAAATCTGTTCAGTCACAGCACAAATGTAAACATAATATATCCATAACTACCACAACCACTACATAGCAAAACAAACAGTGCAAGGAAACTAAGAAAATCAAACTTTTGATCTCTCTCTCTCTCTCTCTATGGAGAGAGATATGTAAAACATTAATATATATGTATACAAAAATAAAATCAGGAACATGTTTCTACTGCAATACAGTGTAACTACAATGATGATGTACACTGATTATAGATCTACCTGCTTAAATTCCCTGTTTTATGTATTTCCAACTACTTATTACGACACTCATTTTTTCCTATGACCAGCAACAATTACATTTTAACAGCAACACAACTTCTACCATGGCTACACCAGTGTGCCATGGGCAAAAAAATAATTTCATTTGCCTCAAATAACAGGATATTTTCCCATTTCTCCTTCTTCCACTGCAATCTGCTGAGTGTTCCATATTCGTATTAAAATTAGACTTAGAGAGATGAGTACTTACTAACTGGAGGAGTAATAGCAATATGAACATTAGAGTTTTATGTAGAAACCTGCACTTTCCTATGAAATGTTGATAACTTTTAACTGAAATGACAGATCGCCGTCCTACAGTAAACAATAGCAAGTATATTTAGATCTTTGCACTTAAGTGTCATTGCTACAGACATCAGTAAAAGTGTAAACCCCCTGACTTTTAGAACAGCACATGTATCTCCTGCACTTCTGATGAACACTACAACCAAGGACCAACAGCATTCTGCCATTCTTGACAGGCAAAAGGTGGTTTAACAAGTAACAGTACAAATGGAGCCCTGCTAGAAGAAACTCCCTGCAAATCATCATGACTTAATGACACAGACAACTACTTCATTTTACTGCACAATCAGCTCCAATGCCTTGTTTGATTTCTCCAAATCTGAGGCACTTGACCTTCAGGCACACAGACTCCCTCTACAATTATTCAAAGTTAGATGAAAACCATTCTCTGTTCATATTCATGGGGGAGAGACTCATAATCTCAGTATTCCAGCCAACTTAATAAATGTAGATATTCCAGAAAGTATGTCCATGCATACATTTTTACACCTAGTAGGACTCCCTCATGAAACAACAAATGGGAACTACTTGTTTGTAGCTGTTATGATTTTGAAAACAGAAAGATATTTATCTGTGAAACACAATTCAATCAACATTTATGCTTGGAATTTTCAAAATTTAACAGGAAAATAAAGGTTAACACTAATGAAGATAACATTAATTGAGAAACAGCAGTTTTGTTTAAATCACTAAAAATGAATTCATTAAAAACTGAACTATGACCAGAGCTTGCTGTCTAAAAGGTACTAAAAGCTTGTATTAATGCTTTTAAAGTTGGTTCTGTTTTATTTTGGTGGATTTTTTGTTTTGGTTTGTTTGTTTGTTTTTTTAATTCAGGAACACTACCTCTTAGTAGGGAAGCAAATATTTGGGTCTGGAGTACTTCTTTCTGTAACTCTGTACTTCTGAAAAAGCTACAGGTGTAACATATACGGAGGACAAAATAACACTCATTTAATCTTAATTATATTTAAATAACATTCAAAACAAGTGTATGCAATAAATACGCAATATATGAAGGCACCAAAGAAGATTTAATGGAAGTAATTTGTGAGATGCTTAAGATATATTATCAATACTTCACTCCATTTTGATTTGGATCACTCACTTATAAATTATATAAGCAATTATATATATACTATTAATATATGTGTATATATATTACTATGACTTTTTAAAAAAACACTCTTTTTTGTGTGACATTTTAAACTTAGTTACTTTTCTAAAAAGCTGAATAAACATTATTTAGAGTATCATCATAATGCAAAGTTTTAAATAAATTAAAAAAAACCCAAAACCTCCATATCTACACTGTATTGTCCCTCAGTCTAGAACACAAACACACCGGGGTGATTAAAAATAGTATAAAGAAGATCATACCAAAAAAGCAGCTAGACTTCTCGGGGGAGAATCCCAGTCAAAGCAACTGCTAATGTAGCAGATGGCAGTTATGACTGCCATGATACAATGCTTCATCCGTATAAAGTTCCTTAACAGTAGCTGTTAAAAACATGAAAGAACAAAAATATTTCAAAACCCCAAAAAGTTTCAGAAAAGGCTCATGCTTACAATAATTTCATTCTTAATTTCTTAATTAAGGTGAAGACAGAAAATAACAAGCTCTCTAGCTCACAAGTGGAGCAAGTTAGTTTAAATTCTCTGGCTTAGAAGAGAGAGAATTTGTTAGTTATGTGAATTGGTATTTGCTGAATTTCATTTTAGATGGTACAGAAATTGTCCAACATTAAAAAGCCACTTGCAAATTTTCATAAATTATTTTGTTTATTAAATTTCAGTTTTATTTAGCCTTCCTTAACAAATGTTGGTCTTTCTCAATATAAAGATGCTGCAGCATACTAACCCAAAACCATGCAAAATTACTGCTCTAATCTAATTAAGATCATCTGTACTCTTTAACATTTGTAACAAATTTGTCTGCTCTCATGTATTTTGAAAAACCTGGTTTTAAGTATTTACCAAACTAACTTTTAACTGCATTTTTCCAAACTACAAGACGTAACAGCTCTAGGTTTTGATTCAGGAAATGTACTTAAATCCTCCAAAATTACTTCAGCCCCCCCAAAAAAACCCCAAACCAAACCAAACTAAAACCAAACAAAAAACCCCAAACAAACAAAAACAAAAAACAAACCAATGAATTATTTGTGTACTGATTTGCATAGAAAATGATCACTCCTCCTGCCATCTCCAAAAGTCACAATACTATTTTCTGTTATGAAAGTGGGAAGAAGAATTAATCTTGAGTAAAAGGTCTTATTGCTTCTTTGCTGGGAAAGTAGAGCAAACTGTAGCTTTAGCAATTACATTACTCCCAACAGTAAAGAAAGAAATATTTTGCCTCTTGAAATGTTTTTTATGAACTATATAAAAAACTGATGTAAAACTCATCCAGCACGTAACTTAAACTATGCTCAAGTCTATAAGTTTTCATAAAAGTAAAAATCAGTTCTGAGACCTTTGCTTTTTCACTGAAAACAACAAAAATCTTATCCCCACAGCCAACTGAAAGCCCAGCTCTCTCCATATAAAATACATCATTTGTGGAACAGGAAAACTGAATCAAAAGTAGTTCAAGTGGAGAAAAACATGTGTGTTTAAATATTCTTCACCAAAATGTTAAAATTGTATGTAGCAAAAATATCCAGAGGAAAAAGAAAGAGTCCAGACACTTCCTACCCCCAGGACTCTCTGTAGTATAAAGTGTTTTAGTCTTCTTTCACCTTTGATTCAAACCTTATTCAACTAACTTATTTAAAATTTGGCTAAAATAATGCTGAAAGACTCTTTACCCTGCAACAAATGGAGAACTTTAGGTCAAAGTTAACAGCAAAAATTTATGCAAGACTTAGTTTACATGCACCTGGGCGATAATCTGATATGTGTGGAACATGCTGGTTTCAACTGTGTTCTTATTCATGTATTTCATGGAAATTAAGCCACAATTTATAGAGGAGACACAATAAACCCATGTATTTTGTTTCTGCCTTCTCCAACATATCATATTCTTTCGTAAATACATAATGAAAATGTTTTTCTTTTCTCTCAGTAGTATGACGCCAGATATTTGGACGTGCACACTTGATATTACAGATTTTGGAAAGGATTAGTGTTTCCTTACTCTTTACCTGTTTAGACAGTCTGTCTTCCTCTTCAATATACTTCTGTTCTTTAGGCATTAAGGTTCTTATGCTGGCTTTCACCTATGCATTAAAATGTGAGTCAGTATTTCAAACTTACGTGCTCCTTACTAATAACATATACTTTAATTTGCAAAAATTACAAAGTTTCAAAGTCATGGCTGCCAAACCACAATACATAAGTGTACACAGAGACAACAGTTGCTGCTTCCTACGTTAGCAGCAATAGCAGCAGCAGCAACAAAAAGAGTGGGTGTGCCAGGCATTGGCAGAAGAGTATTCTGTAGTACACATCAAGGTTTAGAGAAAATGAGGAATGACAGAAATTCTCTACAAATCAGGAACAAAAGCTCTCATGAAACTGAACTCTTTAGCAGTACAAAAAAGCCAAAGTTAAGACTTACAGCATTAAAAATCACATCTATTTCAAGATAGATGACCCCCTTTGTTGGCCCTGTCAGCTGCTTGTTTTTCAAGACGTAGGCTTTCTGTTCACCATTTTGAATCTGCAGGAAAAGGACATGACAGCCGTCTGTCTCACAGTCTCCACTGAATACACCCCCCCAGTGACCCCTGACCCCCAGCTGCTGAAACTGACACAGAACCCAAAACAACTGTGGCAAGTCTGACAAGTACCTGTTCATTACCAGGACTAAGTCTGTCAGGAAAAATTAACTATCATGGGATTCAACATGGCCGTGAATAGAGTATGTTAAAATTTTAGTGTTCTTATTACAGACCTTGGTTGAGAGATGACAGATACAGAGCTGCAAATTTATTTTTTTTTCTTCCTCCCCCGCTTCAGCAGAGAAAATTCAGTGGTATGTCAGGTGAATGAAACTTACAGACAGCAGTGGTATAGCAACTTTGCCTAGAAAGTCAGCACTTCGATCGCGGTCTTCATCGTAAACTGTCACTTCAAGCACCGAGTGGATGTCTTTTATATTACTACAAAGGAAGTAGTACACACAGTGGAGAGAGGAAGTGACTTACACCAGTGAGTACCAAGGACAAAAGTGTGAAAGGTTAGCACAAACAGATACCCACCTATTTTTCCAAGCCATGGAGAAGAACAAAACTTAAGTAAATGAGGCCTCCCTGTGTATAACCAAAATGTGTTCTAAGAGCTGAAATGATTGCTCGTGCTCTCTCTCTCTCTGCAAGGCTTTCCCAGCTGAGGTTTGCTTTAAATCTCCTACTTCGGGTTTGTGCTGCATGACCTGCAAGGAGCAGCACTGAGGGATTTACAGCCCCCAGTAGCAGGACTGAGAGCTTTTAAAGGCTATCCCTTAAACACTGCTGCCACTGCTGCAATTCTTACTGCAAATACTGTGAAATCTGTGGCTTTGTAAATGGAAATAATTACAAGCTACAGGAACATATCCTTGCACTGAAAACAAGCTCTTTACTTCTGAAATCCTTGCTTAATTACAAATATACAAAAGTCATTACAACAAATAAAGAACAAACAGTAGGAAACAATCAGTTTCTCAGCTATTATTGAGGCAAAAAAGCCTGCAAGCTATTAAACACTCCACTGCCATGCACTAGAACGTCACTGTACATTGTAAACTCTTGAGTGAAACATTTCTATTCCTTATTTGGAGAAAAAGAATTATTTGAGAGAACTCATTTTTGATCGAATGGCTGAACCAGCAAACACAAATTCAAGCAAAGCAGTTTAACTGCAGTAAAATATAAGCCTCTAGATGAGGGATTGCTAGCCCAAAAATTAATTAACAAATCTGAGGATAAATATAATATTCAATGCAACTATACACAGAAAAAAGGCCACAAAGGCCTTCAGAGGTTTTCTAATTGATTCCTGATTAGTCTTTTGTCCTCTAGAAATCCAGGCAATTCCTTGAGCAGAGAACACTGCCGACCATTGGAGGATGATTAGTTATTGGCTCTATTAGCATATAATTAAAAATAAATTAATGGAGAATTTAACATGGTTTTGCAGATACAGAAATGAGAACAACAATAATAAGCTGTTGAAAAGTACAACTATTGAGAGATTTTTTTTTTTGTTCTGAATTCATTCCTGAGGACTCACTGCAGGTCAAAAAATCTATGGATGCCAAATATATGACTGACAAATTTAGAGGGGAAAAAAGTTAAATTCACACTGAATTTCAAGATCAAGGGCAAAATATAGCATTTTCATTGATGATAAAGTGAAGTAAGTGTACACAAAGCTAAAGCTTCTACTGGTTTTGCAGAGGATTGTTAGCTGATTTCAGCAGCAGTGAGACCTGCAATGATCAGGTTTTTTTCTACTCATTGGTGTCACATTGCAGTCAGATAGAGGGAAGAAGGGAGAAAAAGAAGGCAACTGAGCAAGACAAATAACAAGGACATTTTGTTTGTGGAAGACTTTTTTTCTACTTTGCCAAAGCCTTTTACTGTCTTCGAAATAACAGAAAGATAAAAACCCAAACTTCATGACAAACTAAATATTTTAGACTGCATTTTACCCAACAGCTGCACTGTACTAGTACTAAACTAGAGAGTATTGTGAGAAGTGCAGTTGTTAAATGAAAAGAAGTGGAAAGTATTTGATCTTAATTCAGAGACTTTTAGAATTTCTAACTTTATACAATTGACTAATGTTTTTTAAAGTTAACAACCCCATTTTAATGAAGGTCATAACCACAATATGTTTTTTCCCCTCTCAAACTTCAGGGGCAAACCCATCATACCGGATTCGGTCCTTGAAACTCCCACTGAACCTAGCAGGAGTCTGGAGTGCTTAGCATTACATATAGCTGGTTTCCAAGAAACAGACCTGGCTTTTTAACCTTTAAAATGATACCACTGCTATAATTTTTTTTCATGTTTTTAATCTTCAAAAAAGTATTCAGATGTTTAGTTTAGAAATATCAGTATGTTGTCACTATTCTTCTTCAGAACCACTAGTAGGTATTCTCTTCAACACCCTCACCTCCAGAAAAATCCACCCAAAACCCACTGCCCTCTTTCCCAACCCAAACACCCACTGCACACCACTCCCCCCACAAATCCAAACACCTACAATGTGAAGATTTTGTTCCATTCTGGATTGAGGTTCTTGTAGATGGTATGTGTCAGCAGTCTGTCATTGTTCAATTCAACTACACAAAATGGGTCACTTTTACCTATAAGGGAAAATTTGGAACAAAATTTATGAACTAAGAAAACATATGAAGAGCAAAGTTTAAATAAAAACTAGTTTGGCATTTTTTTTTTCCTTCTCCAAAGTTGTACTGTAATTCTCTTAAGAATTAATTCAAGGAAGTCCTACGGTCTGGATATTCAAGATATTCAAGAGGCCCTCATCTCCTTAATCTATTAACATTCTTTGCTAAAAGAACAGGCTTTTGTCTTAAAAAAAAATTTAAAAAATCACTATACAGATTTTTCTGATGAAAAAACAGCATGTTCCTAAAAGATGCCAAGCACCCTTCCGAGACAGCTAAGAGAACTTTAATGGTGCCCATACTCCACTGATTGTAATGATAACACAGAGCATTTTGATATGAAGGAAATGTATTATTTCATATTATTTGCAATAACACAGCACCAATCAGAATTATCCAAAAATTACTAAGCCTTACATGTTTCACATTATACAAATCCTCTCCCCAAAATCAAGGAGTCTTAAAGAAAGTCTCATATAAAAGCTTAACACCAGAGAAAGTGGGCAAGTACAAATAAACAATGAAATTATATCAGCTGGAATGATGGGCTGTAGTCTCAGCACAGCAGAAGGTCAAACATGGTTGAGACTAATGTATACATTAAAGAACAATGAAGTATCTTTGCATATATTTACAAAAAGGTCCCTCAGCAGGACCACCATCAGAAGACAAAGTATGAAGATGCTCCTTTGAAAATGTAATAAGTGATAATGGAAGCAGGATAATGGAAATGGCTACGGAGGTTTATCTTTTTTTTTTATCTAAAGAAAAAAAATCGGGAACGCAAGTGTGCTTGTGTGTGCGTGCTTAAATGTGAAATAAGCAGCTTATAGCAAAAGACTGCAGGTGAGCAGTGCTTAGATACTGAGCAGAGAGCAGGAAAAAACATCCTGACTACAAGTTTAGGTGGTAAAACAGGAAACTTACACTAAGTTTTTTCAAGGTTTGTATTTAGAAAGGTGGCATGGTTTAAGCCCAGACGGAAATCAGGCCCCATGCAGCTGCTCCCCTCCCCCCACTGCCTCAGGTGAGAGAAACAAAAGATTACAGGTTTAAATAACAATTTACTGGAAACAGCAATGAGATAAGAAAATGAACAGTAACAGCAACAATACTAATAACAATAGTGTATAAAAGAGTGATTACATGCAAAATGCTCACCAAGTCTGATGCTCCCTCCACCATTTTTTTTTCCCAAGCCCAAGATAATGAAAAACAATGGCAGACAAACCCTCTGTGCCTGTGTTTTTTCACCCAAACCCAAGACAATGAAACAATCACAATGCAGCTGGGACTAGCACCACCCCACCACTCCACTTGCTGTCTGCTCCCCTGAGAAAGGACAAAATGGCCGTGGAACATCCATGCACCCCCTTTTTCCCCCACCCAAAGCCCCACCCTTTCTTCTGGGAAGTGAGAATCCCTGACTTCTACTTCCCCGCCTTGGCAACGATGTGCATGGTATAGAACAACAACCTAGACAGGTCTGCATGGCTCCAGGCTTCGCCCCTGCCCCCCCCATCATTGGCTGAATCTAGGACAAAAGGATAAGAAGAAAAGTAGACAACTGAATCTGATGCTTAACAACAGGCTGGCTGTGTAAAATGGAACTCTCCAAAGAGGGAGGAAGCAAAAGGCAGCAAGATTGGTATTTCCAGGGTTTCAGGGCACTCCTGAAATTTCCTGGAAGGGTAAGAAGGTGTTGTGAGGTAAACCTGAGGAACTGCTATGATGGAAAGAGCAGTAATGAAAACATGAGGGCATGGTGAGAAGACAGTTGCAATAAAGAGGCAATAAAGGAAAGAAATCACACTGTGGACTAAATTATTTAACTCATATTTCAAATTATAATAGTAATGACAACTGTATAAATGCTATCCAAAAAAGAGACACTGTCCTTCTTACCTGTTTTTATTTTCTTCAGTAAGTAAAAGGAGTAACTTTTGCCTTTGGCACAGAATACACGTGTGTGTACACATAATTTTCACATAAGGCTACAAATATGTAAGTAGAAAGTTGAACAAAAAACTGCTGCTCCATGGACCCAAGGGAACTCTGCTGAAAATTAACAACTGAGTTGCGGACTACAGCATGGCTTGCTCTTGTCTCTAGACTTTCTCTGGGCAGTAAAGTGATTGAAAGGTATTGAATGTTGGCATTGGCCTTCCACAATCAAATCTCGGACACTAAGCATCTGTATTTCATAATGGCTTCCATAACTCCATATTAGTTTTTCATGCATTATAAGAAGCCATAAATTGAGTAGCTAAATTAATGGGGCTATTTAATGATATTAGGAGGCACAGAATTTGTTTCATACCTTATACAAATGACAATGAAATCAATATTTAGACAAAGATGTCCAGGTATCACATCTCCGAAACTGCAGTATTGATTCTGAATACATCAGAGGTTAATGTGTATATTATTAAGTTTAATGATAAAGAGTAATTGTTTTAAACACATTCTAAATTACTGTTGATGTTTACCTTTTCTAGAAAACAATATACTGCTGTTTCCCATTATCTCGAAAAATTACTCATTAGTAAGCAGAGGTGGACACATCACACATCTCAATGTTCTCCTACTTTACAAGGCTAAAAGGTGGTAGGAAAGTTAAATAATTCATATTATTTGAGTTCTGTAGGTTTCAGTATTTGAAAAAGAAATATCCAGAAGACAGTTAAAATAACGGCAGCGCTGACATGGCAGGTAAACTAATTTATCTCATTTTTTAAAGTATCATCAATCATATTTGGACATGGTGGTACAATGTGAGTTGAGCTTATGAATCGTATACAGACACAAGAAAATGCACTGCAGCATATACAGGCCATCTTCTACAAACAAAGAGAAGGTATTTACTACATTTATTTATTTTCTGCACCTGTTGGCATGTGCTTTTTCAATGACTCTTCTTATATATTCATATGGATATCAATCAATAATATGTAACATTAATTACAAAGCTCCTCAATCAAACCAAAGACAAATAAATGGTTTCCAGAAATGAAAAAATCCCTCACCCACAGTCAACATTTCACGCCTCTTCCCCCCATCATTTGAAAACAGTTCAAGACCAAATATGAATAAAGGCAATATCATGAAATGGTTCAAGGAAGGGTCTAAATATCATAGCTAACAAGTAGAAGCTTCAACATCTCTTGTCAGGAATACTGGTTTTATTATATAAGAAGGCTCTGAAGTTCCCATAGGCAAAGCCCTTCACCATTGCATATGGGCACTTCTTCCATATGCTAAAACGCTCAACTCAGCTTGGTATCTGAAAGGCAACACTCTCTGCTGACATGCTCAACATATGGTATGGGCAAACGTTATTAGGATACTAACTAAAATAAGTGAACGTGATCCAGAAATGTACAAAGACTTGGTGAAACACATATCCATCTGTTATCTTTCAAGTTCTTATTATTAGAAACAATAACTGGAATCTTAACTCTCACTGACAGCCTTGGCAACCTGCTGCACTGCGAGAGTGTTCAAAATAATGGAATTGTTCCCAATGAAAGCCTTAAGAGGGCACTAAAATATTAAAGTATGTCCTTAGGTCTCCTTGGTTCCTACAACAACCAAAAAGATCCAGCATCACTCTATTATTCAAACCGAGTACCTTAAGCACAACATACACTCTAACCAAGGTAGCCTCAGACAACTTCTGTCAGTTAACGTGATTAGCAATTTCGAATAAGAGATACAGAAACGGTTTTCCTCATTTTTATACAAAAGAAACACACATGTACACAAAAGCATATGCTCTCCATTTAGCTTGTCTAACAGTACACTTAAAAATCTCTGATTAGACTTGTGCTGCCTATGCTCTATTACATCATTCATTCTATATTATGTTGTCATCATAAGTATGCCTTTCACTACAGAATAAATCACAATTGTCATATATAAGTGTATATAACCTGTCACATGTCAAGAAAGTCTACCCAAATCTCTGTGGCTACTGAGGATGTTCCAACTAGCAATCCCCTCTCCATGTCTTAAATAGGCCTCCAGCTACTATTCCAGTGACTTTAGAGGCACTTAGTTATTGATCAGGTGGACATCTACAAAAAGCTCCTTTGCTTGGCATTATGCATGGGTAAGATAACCACCGCCTGCATACAGCACTTAAACATTAAAAGCACATTCCCAGAAGCACCAACACCAGCACTTCAAATTCTGAGTAATCCCATGACCTCAGTGGGACTAACTGCTAGTATGCCCACCAACATTTGAAGGAAATAAAAGTAGGTAGTAAAATAAATAAAAAGTAGGTAGTAAAATAAATAAAAAGTAGGTAGTAAAAAACAAAGTACATCTTCCCATTTACTGAAATCAAACCTGCAGAAACCTCAATATGAAGCAAAACAAATCTCATTAATCCATTCTCTTGCTGTAATGTCTCATGCTTTTTGGACTCTATTTGTACAGTCCTAAGGGCTCCTGAAATTACAGAAATGAACTGCTAATTTACATAATATTCATAATAGGAAGGGAAAGCAGCATCTCTTTTGACAGATCTCCCTCACCCTTTTCCCCCTTTATCCATTACGGAAGTGGACTATCTGAGAATGTCCTCTAGAAGGAGTTTTACTTTGTAATGTATGCTAACACTGAAAAGAAGAACTACTTATCTTTTGAAGCTTCCCATTTTATGCCACACATTGCATCTAGTTCAACAGATACCCTTGTTTGTGCTATGCTGTATTGCATTTAATGTTTAGACAGTTGCAAGACCAGAACACAAGCTGAGATTACCTAACTTAGATCTAACTTAGACAGCACTGTGTTCCTCACATTGCACGTGATGCACACATTAAAATTATAGTCATTTACTTGTCACCTTATTTCTTAGAACTACCACATGCCCCTGGATGAACACCCATAACCTGAAATCAGCCCAACTCTGCAACAGAGGACAACCAGGAACTATATATGTGTTATTT